GGATGCCAGGGACAATGGGGGAGGAGGATGGGACATAGCAGAGGGTGGGGGATGGGGAATCAAGGATGGCAAAACAAAAGGCAAGGTATGCAGGACATAAGAATTGGAAAATTATTTGCTAAGAACATGTATGTTGATGTGCTTGATTGAGCCAATGCACAGTGTATTTTGGATGGAAAATTCATTTGTGTGTTGTGACGGTGTATAGTGAATTAATGTAGAAAATGAATAAATTAAAAAAAAAATGGGTAGGCCCCATGCTGCATGATTCAAATAATTATCCATTCTCACCACGGCGGTCCCTTTCAGACTTCTGAAATTCTGTATGAACATCAGGATAAACTCCTACATGTATTTGTGGTAAAGTATTTAACAGCTATTATAAAGCTATGTATGTAGTGTGCTTGTGAAAGTGGAAATACAGGGACCAGCAGTTAGTGTAATGGCTATGTCGCTGGACTCCCACGTAGTCGACCGTGGTTTGAGTCCCGGGCCCGGTGGCTTAAACTCATGCCGGGCGCGTGCGCGTGCATGCCTAAGATCCCGAGAGGAGAATGGAGGAGAAGGGATTGGGGTGTGGCCATCCCCGCTGGGGGGTGATTTCTCGCTTTCTGTCTCTCTGTCTCTGTCTTTCTGGCGAGCACATGCACCCTATAGCAAAAACCTCTCCAAAAAAAAGAAAGAAAGTGGAAATACATTAAGATGCTTAGCCAAGTGTATAAAACCCTGATCGAAATTCTTCAAATGCTTGCCAATGAGGTAGATAGGGCAAGGGTCCCCAAAGGAAGTGTTTTTCTTTTTAAAGAAGTCTTTTTCCTCTATGGTTTGATTAGTGTACAATATTTACCCCTTTTACATTTCTCTGAAAGGTAAAAATGTATGACTCCTTGCTATAAAGACAGGAGATAGGGATATTGAGCACCCGGACTGGGTAAAGCCAAGATGGAGTCACAATGGCTAAGTTTTCACAGTCAAAAGCTGGCTGTATTGGGATTTCAAACAACTGTAGCTAAGAGCAATAGTTTCTATTATATTTAGTAACTTTATTCTAACAGGAAGTACAGAGCACTATGATCTGCTGACCTCACAAAGAATACGATAATAAATCAATCAGACTACCATTATTACCGTCTGGGGCCATGGACCCCTCCTGAGAGCTCGATAAAGACACCGGTGTTTTCTCAGGAAAAGGTGCACAGTCCCATGCAGGCGATATCGCACACGGTTCTGGGAGTACGTAGACGCCTGGAGTTCCTTGGGTCCCCAGCATAGTCCAATAAACGAGGAAACGTGGAAGCCGAGAAGTCTAAGGTGACTAATTGCCAGTTGGTTACACTGTCAGGATTTGAATTCAGATCGCCTGACCTTATGACCAGTCCAGGCCCAGTTGCCCGGGTTCGAAGCCCAATTCTGTTACCTATTGGCCGTGCCACGTATATAAGTTGCATAGCCCTTCTGTGCCTCATTTCTTTCTTCTTTAGAAAAGAATTATTTATGTATTTATTATGTTAACATTTGCTATAGAGCATGTGTATTCACCAGAGGGAGGCAGAGGGAAAGACAGGGGAAGTGAGAAAGCAAGCCCCCAGATCTGGGATGCGATCTGCAGTCAGCCACGTGGGAGCCCAGAGCATTAAGCACTACTCTACCAGGTGCATGTGTGTGAGTGCCCAAATTCTGAACAGTGGGAGGAATGGAGAAGGGACTGTGCCTGGGCCCTGCGCCTAGTTTCTTCATCTGAAGATGGGTGATAATAGACTCTCTCCACAGTGCCTGAAACCTTGTTAGTATTGGCAGTGCGGCAGAGGGGCCAGAGGGACCAGCAGATGGCGTAATGGCTATGTCGCTGGACTCCCATGTAGTTGACCGTAGTTCGAGTCCCAGATCCGGTGGCTTAAACTCACACCAGGTGCGTGTGCATGTGTGCCCAAGATCCTGAGAGAATGGAGGAGAAGGGATTGCGGCGTAGCCACCCCTCCTGGGGGGTGATTTCTCACTTTCTGTCTCTCTGTCTCTCTTTCTGGTGAGTGCAGGCACCCTGTAGCAAAAACCTTTTTTTTTTTTTTTTTTTTTTAAAAAAAGGGGGAGC